TCTTCCCAACCTCCTCGTCTGGGTGGGCTCCTGTCAGCCCGAGACAAGGGCTGGCCCAGCTGCTCCAGGCTGTTCTCTTTATCATCACTGCCAGGTTCTACCCAAGGATAGTTCTGGAGGTACCCCTAATGCCTCCCACGTGCCTGCCGAGACTCTGGCGCTGGGCTGGGGCGGAGGAGCCTGTCCCTGCTCTTGAGAAGCTGTGGGTTTAGCGAGGAGGTCTGTGCAGAGGACTGTCATACAGAGCAGGACAGTCATTCAGAGCCGTGTGAAGAGCTCTGCAGGGGCTCCACATAGCACATGAGTGCAGGGACCCTCGTCTTCAAGGACGGCTCCCCCAGCTAGGGGCACTTCCGGGAGTTTCTTGAATGTCGCGAGTGGGGAGGCATAACCTGCTAGGAATGGTTTTTACAAAGAAAGTGGAGAAGGAAGCTGGAAGAGGGGGAGAAAGCAGGGCAGGCAAGGGAGTAGGGAAAAAGCGAGACCCGGCACCCAGCAGAGTCTCTGTCAGCGTTTGCCCTGTGAGCAGACGATGTGGGCTTGCAGCCATGGAGAAGACGGGCTCTCTCTGGGAAGCTGTGCTGCAGCACGGGTAGAGCCCAGCAGAGTGCCTGGCCCTGACTTTGATCTGGTCCAGAATCTAGAAGAATACTTGAGGCGGGCAGAACTACAGAGCTCAGAGCCTGATGTAGTGAATAATTTGCACAGTCCGTGGGTTAAGGTTTCTATTAAGCTAACTGTGCTGCTGATCATTTAGCTGGAAGATGTTAGATATATCATTTGGAGAAAATGGAGTACCCATCTCAGGGGATAATGACACTGTGAAGCCATATCATTTCTACCGTGGAGAACAATTTGAAGCATGTGCTAATAGATTAAGTGACTACAGTGATCATTCTGAACAAAGAAAATGGTTGAGAGCCGTACAGCCAGCCACAAACTGAGATGGGTAAAGAGTAATAATGTAACCCTGTTGATCTGTGAGGTGTAATCCCTTTAGTCGCTGTCACACTACTCCAGCTGGGGAAGGTCTCTGGACTGGGGCTCACACCAAGGTCCGCCTTCTGCTACCTTGCAGCTGTTTGACCTTAGATGAGTCCCTGGACCGCTAGAGGTTTCATTCAGAAATGCCCAAGCCACAGGATGTTGGTGTAAATGATTGGGATGAGGCATGGCAGAGTGTTCAATAACCTGCAAGGGGCTGGGTAGACACTGGGTTCCGTGGGGACAGGGAAGGCGTGCATGGTTTGCAGAAACATAAAACATAAAAACAAATGGAGTGTGCGTCTTACAACCCTTGGAGTGCGTGAAGGCGGGGAGGGGCTCACTTTGCAGAAATCCTCATAAACCCCCTCTGTAAAGCAGCCCATTATTCCTCTTTCTACAGTGTTCCCATGTCAGCTGTATGTAAAGTGGAGCATCTGTATGGGCAGCTTCTGCAGGGCTGGCAGAGCCGCTTGCCAGAGCTCGTGAGATTGTCAGCTTGGTCCAACAGCAGGCCACAGGCGGACTTTGGGACCCCTGGCTGTTGTTAGTTACGTTTTGGATGCTCAGTAAAAGGACTGAGCAACAGCCTGCAGCCCCCATTACACCTGCGCTGACTGAGATGGATGCTCTTTTCAGGACTTCTGTGAAGTGCACATTTGCTTTTGCCTCTGTCACTTTTTCTGTTGAATTAAGCCCAAAGGACCGTGTTTGGAAAGTTTACAGTACTCATAATTAGCATTGGATGAATTTAATGGTGATTCTGGCAGACAAAATGCTGGAGCTGAAAATCGAAAAAACAAAATGGAGGAAGGATTCTCTTTAAATAGACAATGCTACAGAAAGGTAATATGGACAAAGAAATGTAAATATTTAGAAGGATGGTGAGGGAAGTATAATGCTCAGTAAGTCTTAACTTCTCATGGCCGGCAAATTTTGATTCATGGAGTGCCATGGATGGGACGATGCAAGGCCCCTTGGAAAGCTTCAGTGTGTTCCTTTGTAATATCGAGTCTCCATCTCTCAGCTGATGATCAAGGCTCTTCAAGATCTGATAGTGAACTTCATTTCAGGCCTCACCTGCCACTTCTCTGCCAACACTCCTTCTCCTGTCACTTATGCACGTTTGACAGATATCCCCTGAGAACCTCGCACATGCAGACAGACTGGTGATCTACAGCCCAGGAGTGGGGTCTGCTGTCTTGAGCTCAGCCAGGAGCTGAAGCCTCTATGCAGATGAGGGGTCCAGAGAAGTAGTCAAGGATGGGGACCAGGACTGCTCCAGCCTTTGTGAGTGGGCAGAGGAAGAGCAGTGGGGAAGTCTGGAATCTGGGAGAAGGCCCGGAAAAGAGCCTGACAGAGGGTTGTGGAAGCAGCAAAGAGGGCATCTCAGTGAGTCAAGCTGAGGTGCACTTAGAGTGTGAGATAGCACAGAGCCTTCTTAAAAGGTGAAGATGGAACTCTGCCTGGTGAGTTGGGAACTGGGAAGTAGCCAGCGGCCTTGGCAGGGCTGTGGGCACACACCCGCTGTTTGCTCACAGTCTTCCCTCTGCCTGCAATGCCTTTTCCCTCTATCTGTGAACAACGCCACCTTCCATGAGGTGCCTTGGGCCCTGCTGTGACACAGTTCGCACCATTTACCCCTATTTCAAGCACGGTAGCCTCATCTTAGCTGTCGCCCTGTCTTCTTCCCTGCATCTGTGGACAGTGGTCATGTCTCGGTCATCTTGGAACCTCCCCCTTCCTACTGGGCTGTCATGGGAACAGGAGGCAACAGCCTCTGCTTCTCAAAGGCCCAGGCCAGGGCAGGGTTCTCCTTTCAGCCTTTGTCGGTACTCAGGCATCGTGGTGTTAGAGTTGTTCAAAAGGACAGGGATTTTCCGCAGTGGAAGTTTTCTGTTGGTGACTACTTCCTCATTTTAGGCTTCAGCTCTGATGGCAATCGCTGTATCCCGATTATGGCGTCACGCCCAAGAGCATGTCTCAGAGCTTGTGTATCGGTTGATCTCACCGTTTCTATCACATCTTCTGTTTACCTGAGGCGCAGTGGGCTTGTTTTGCATGTGTGAGGTCCTGGGACCCCAGTATAAATCACCCTGGCCCCTCACTTTTTCCTTTGTGTAGAATTGATTGACAGTTAAGAGGGGAAAAGCATTTGTTGTGTATTCCCTCCCCTTCTGTCAGGTACTCTCTTTCAATGTGAAATAAATCAATATTTACTTCTAAAGTCTTGGTTCACAGTACATTTTCCCATTTAAATGAAATTGATACAAACAATAAAAGAAGGGAAAAAGGTCTTGATACTCTGGGAAAACAAACCAGGCTAAATGTATTAATAGTTTCCACTTAGGATAGCTCTTGGGCTTCTGGTGAATTCTGTCAGTCCAAATTAAAAGTTTCTTCCAGTCCATAACTTTGTGTGGAGCCCACCCCAGAGGTGCCTTTTCTGTTTTTCTCTCTGAATTAAATGTGATCCCCTGCTGACGTAGCCTTTCCTGCTCACAGGGAGTGGTACAGTCACAGGGCCGAGTGAGACCACTCGAAGCCAGTAGGGCCATTCCCAGATAGAGTGTGGAGTCCCGACGTGTTACAGAGGGATGGGCAGGGAGCAGGAAGTCGTGCCATGTCAGACATCAGCTGGCAGAGGAGTTAGGAGCAGGCCAGGCATCCAGCTTGGCTCTGGGAAAACAGCTGTGACAAGAGAGCATGGTCCCTACCCCCACGGAGCTTAGTCTAGTGGAACCTGATAAAATGACAGAGGTTTGGTTGAATAAATGAATTATTGAAGGCTTCGAAAGGGCAGCCATGTTATTAAGCATGCGTTTTGCATACAAAATCTCCTTTAATTCTCCCAGCAATCCTCTGAAGTGGGCATGTTAGTCTCTCTTTTGCGGATGAGAAAACTGAGATTGTAGGGGAAAGTAGTCCAAGCCTCGCAGCTAATAGTGGTTTGTAGGACAAAGCTTCTGGTCCACTTGGACCTCCTGGAAAAGCCGAGTCTCTCTGAAATCCCTCCATGTACCAGCGGACTCTCTCATTCCCCAGCTAAACAATCCCAGGCCCATTTTCTTTCCTCCTGGGCTTATTTTCTAACCCTTGAGCCATTTTTGCAGCTCTAGGGTCTCAACTCTTTCTAAATCTTTCCCATATTCTTTCTATGATCTCTTCTCAAGATCAAAGACAGTTGTTATTTCAAATAGACCAGAGCCCACAGAGTCGGTGACGTGGGGCATCAGCACCAGCTGTAATTTGCCCTTGTCTGGAATCTGCCTGCTTGGAGCTGCGGAGAAAGGCCTGGCCGTGGAATTCAGCAGGTCCCCTCCTCCGACAGAGGCTCCCGCAGACTATCCTGCCCAGCCTGTGGCAGCGAGTTCCCATCAGCAGGCTCTGCCTAGCTGGTTCAGGCATTAGTGTTGATGGACGACACCTGGGAAAGCAGTCACGAGGGTGTTTGCCTCCTCCTAGTGTGATGTTGGTTTTCATACAGCGAGTTGAGCTCCCATAGTGGGTGGAAAGACAGATAACCCAGGATAAACCTAGGCCCTTTCTCATCACCAAAAGGACCAGCTGTGGATTTCTAGGAGCCCCCCCACCCAACCCTCAACATGGTTGCAGTAAATAACTATTTACTGCATATAACTGCAAATAACTATTTACTCAACATGGTTGCAGTAAATAACTCCTATGGTACCTTTCAACTCTCATACTGTTGGCAACCCCCATACCTCTGGGAGGCAGCTTGGCATCAAGAGAAGAGCTTGGACTTTGGGTTTCCACTTGGGTTCCACCATTAGCCACAGCTGGGCCCCTGGCCGTGTTGCTTTGCAGCATTGAGCTTCCCTCTCTTCACCAATAAACATCTGAGAGCAAGCACAGAGCATTGCTAAGAGGATTAGGTGTGGTAGGGACAGGCTCCTGGAACATACTAGATACTCCATAAGCAGTAGCTGTGAGTCTGTTGTCATGACTGGACCCAGAAGGAGGACCTGTATGACCTTTCCCTTGCCCTCCCACAGGTCACCGACGAGGAGCCCAGCTCCAACCATACAGTCATGATCCAGGAGACCCTCCAGCAGGCCTCTGTGGAGCTGGCCGAGCAGCATCACCTGGTGGTATCCTCCGACGAGGTGGAGGGCATCGAGACAGTGACAGTCTACACGCAAGGCGGAGAGGCCTCGGAGTTCATCGTGTACGTGCAGGAGGCCATGCAGCCCGTGGAGGAGCAGGCCGTGGGGCAGCCGGCCCAGGAGCTCTAGAGGACACTCAGCGTCGGACGGACCCCATAGGGCAGGGCTGCCAGGCTCTGCGGGACACCCAGGACACTTGGGGTGCCCAGGGCGGGGAAGCCACAGAAGGGCACTCTGCCTGGCGCTCTCCTCTGCGCTCCCTGCCCTGGCCGCCAGATGGGGCTCTCCTTGTCCTACTTTGGGTAGGCAAGGTGATCAGCATCACCAGCAATACAGGACCCCTCCCTCAGTACAGACACATACCCCCTTACCCTGTATCCTCTGCTTCTGGAAGGACTTTTGCATCAGTTCCCCAAACACGGGCCATACCACATTGCCCCTTTGCTTCAAGATTCAGAGACCCCCAGTCCCCATCAGCATCTTCCCTGAATCACATCCCCATCTCCTTGGTCCCCATCTAGGTGCCGAATCTTCATCTGGGACCGCTGCAGCCTGGTGAAAGGGAGACAGCCATCACAGAGAAAGGGACCTTGTGGTTTTTGAGTCACCTCTCTGGGGAAAGAGGGAAGGGGGCCTGGCTTTGTCTACAAAGTTCTACCCTCCTCAGGTATTGAGGGTGCATGTTATCGCGTGAAGTAACCACGATTTGATGACCCTCCCACTCCCATCACAGGTGGGGTCTCAGCTTACAGTCTTGGAATTCTTTTGCTTTCAAAAAAAATGCACTTTTTCCTCTTCACCCCCCATTCTAAGGAGGTGAGGTGGATGGAATAAAGACAGTCTCGGCCTGAGTACTTGGTTCCTCCCTTAGGTTGAGTGGTTTACATTTCCCCATCCTGAATCAGATCTTGGGTTTGGACCCCACCCAGAACCACCGCATCTGAGACACAAGGCCCTTAAGGTGGAGACGCTGATGCTCTTTCTCCCTCTAAAGCACTTAGAGTTGCTTTGGGGCCCACTGTCTGAGGTTAACGTCTTACTTTCCGTTTCCTGGCATCCAGTGTTGGGTTTGCTGCAGCCCAGACGAGGGAGCACTCTTTTCCACCCGGCACGTGGGAGGAGCAGTCAGCCGGCCATCAGAAGCCTGCGTGACAACTGTTGTTTGACTAAGCATTCAGTCCAGGTGCTCATGAAAAGTCCCATACCTTTTTGAGCCTCTGCTCTGTGCACAGCATTGTGGGGGCATCGAGGTGAGTCCTGCTGCGCCCTGCCCGGCCCTGGGGTCTCTTGTCATCGTCACCCACCCTCCCACTCACTGAGGTCAAGGTTTGTGTCCTCTGAGACCCCTGTCTTCAGGTGGAATCTTATGCAGGTATATAAGCAGAGGTACAAGCAGATGGAGGGGTAGTTGCTCCGGTTGAAGAGGGTGGAGTCCACAGCCCATGCACCGGGCCCCTCTGTTACTGCCTCTCTCCCCACCCCAGCAGGGCCTAAAGGCACCTTTTGGGGGAAGCTTAAGAGCTGCTGCTCTGGGACCGGCCTGCTGGTGCAGTGGTCAAGTTCATGCCATCTGCTGTGGAGGCCCGGGGTGCGCAGGTTCGGATCTCAGGCACGGACTACACACTGCTCGTCAAGCCACGCTGTGGTGGCGTCCCACATATAACGTGGAGGAAGGTGGGCACGGATGTTAGCTCAGCAACAACCTTCCTCACCAAAAAAAAAAAAACGCTGCTGCTCTAACACAAGGAGGAAAGAGACTAAGCCAAGGGGGAGAAGTGCATCTGGCCTCACAGGAAGGAAGGTCACTGCCCACTTGGGATGAGGTGGAGAGAGCTCCATGGCAGAGGTGGCCCGTGGTCAGGGCTTTTAAGCTAGATAGGCTCTGCATTTGCGGGGATTAGCGGGGAGGGAGAGGGAAGGGGATTCCGGGGGAGAGTAACAGTGGAGCTAACCCCTGGGGGTGGGACAGCATGGGGATGAACTCGAGCCATGAGCATTCCACTGGGCTGGTGGGTAGCTATAAGGGGAAAGGTAGAAAGGTCAACCAAAAGCCAGAACCTAGCAGAAAAAGGGATGAGAGATGATGAGTATTGATTTTATTCAGTGAACCATAGGGAGGCAGCAGCCATTTGATAGACCCGGGGTGTGAAGGGCAGAGCGACACTCCGGAAAGAGTGATCTTGTCCGTGTGTCAGGGTCAGCTGTGTTGGGATAGTTGAGCCTCCAGATTGGAGGCAGAGAACCTGGGCTCAAACCCAGTTCTGTCCCCTCTTACCTGAATCACCTTGGCATGTCACTGGGCCTGTCTTAGTTGTAGTTAACTCATCTCTGAAATGGGTCTGATGATCATTGCTAACTCCTGAGATTATTGAGGGGCTTGACTGAGCAAAGCCTGGGAAGCCATTGGCAGAGCACCTGGCCCACTCTGTACATATAAATTATTATTTGTATTCGTAGGCATGGAGGATGCAAACTTGAATATCCCTCAAATTCTGCCCTCAAAGAGGTCACAATCTAGTGGGAGAGACAGGGCAAGAACGCACAATGGGAAGTTGTTGAATGTGCTTCATGCTCCTAGCGAGGCTGGAGGGAGGAGCCTGTTCCTAGATCCCCTAACACGGGGCCCTGGGCCAGAACTGTGGGGCCACATGACACTGAGGAGCAGGTGCCCAGCCACTCAATGGGAGTTCTCAATTGTGCACAACTGTCCCCATAGCTCAGAGTCTCAGTGACTTCAGGGCGAGGTCAGTCCTGTGTGCTGATCACCTCAAATGCTGGACGTGATTATTTCTGAGATGCACATCCAGCATGTCCACTGCTTTGTGTCCTCAGTAACCCTGAGATCATTAGAAGATCTCGTTCTTCTAATTTATAAAGCCCTTGTGAAGAGTGATAACTGCGCTAGGCTGGTGTTCACTGTAAATGTGCTGGGCGTCTATTGTCATCTAAAGTCTCTGTGCACTTTTAAACGTGAACATAGATATGAGCGAGAAGTGGCTTTAAATGTTGTCAGAATTTAGGTCATAAGGGCCTTGTGCTGGGGAGGGGAGGCGGGCTTTGGTTTGAATCCTGGTTCCACACTTATGATTCATTGTGATGTAGGTTAACCTTCATGGATATTGGTATCATCGGCTATAAAATGGGTAAATCATTTTGCCCCATTGGCCCAGTTTGTTTTAGGGATTCACCACGGTAGCAGATGCCAACGCACCCAGCACACTGTGTTGTACGTGGTAGGAACACGATAAATAGCTATGTTCCTTCCCGTTGTCCCCTGTGGGTTCCTAGGTGAGTCCCATGGCAAATGACCAATGGCAGCTTGAACAGGGACGTATCATTTGCTTGCCTGTGAGGTTCACTTGCAGTCCAGTTGTCGTCTAACCCTGCGGTTACCCCGTCCTCATCCCTCTTCCCTCTTCTGGGCCTGTCACTGGCCTCATGTGCCTTCATGCACTCACTGATTCAGCAAAGGCTGATTGACTGCCCCTAGGGGCCAGGCCCTGGGCTATGAACTGGGAACACAACTTACCAATGACACGTGGTCCCAGGCCTCAAAGAGCTCACCACTGGCTCGGAGGGTAGAGGAGCGAACAGGTGATGGGAAGGCCGTGTGGGAGCGGCTGCGGGAGCAGAGCAGGGTTGCTAGCATGTCTGAGAGGGGGTACCACGGAAGGCATCACTGCCGCCTCAGCCGAGCCTCAGATCCAGGCAGAGAAGAGGCAGCATGACACGAGACTTGAACTGAGATGACTTGCCCGGGAAATGGCAAGCGATAGAGGTCAGGAGTGAACGTGGACCCAGCCCTGAGGGAAACCCTCCACCGGCATCCTGTCATTGGCTCCCACACCAAGCCTGCATAGGTTTTAGGTTATCCTCACTGACTGACAGGGAAACACGTCAGGAGGTTAAGAAACTTGCCGGGAGTCTACAGCTAGTGAGAGGCCAAGCCAGAATTGAGAAATGGGCTGTCTGACCTCAGAACTCACTCTCCTAACCATTGCTCTGCGTTGCAGTGGGAACCTGGGGAGCCTGGGGCATCTGGCCAGGAGAGAAGGCCCCAGAGGAGGGAGGCAGGGCACCTGATGGGGAGACCTATGCCCATGCTGGGCATAGAAGGAAGGAGAGAGAGAGAGAGAGGGAAGGGAGAAAGGAAAGAAGGCAGGGAAGAATTTTGCCATTTAATGCCATTCACAGTATTCTTTTGCATCTACAGACTGTTTCTCTCCATCTGAGTCATTAAATCACCCAGCCCGGAGCACACCCCTGCAGGGTTGTCACTGGGGAGCATTTGCCCACAGCGAGTGCTGTGCTGCAGACTGTTTATTTTTGCAACCCCCCCCCACCCAATTATTGAAAACACAGAAAGTTGAAGAATTGTTCATGTTACGGGAGCCCTGTGATTGGGTGGGGCAGGGCAGGGGGTTTGGTTCTCTGAGGTCCTTTCCTGGGGAGCTAATGCTGAGCTGGCGGGGCAGGGGTGGGGGCCTTTCTGAGCCACATGGTACATTCGAGTGATAGGTTCTCCCTCAGCTGTTTCATTCAGATGCTTTTTGATCCACCTTGTATTTTGTGCCAGGAGAAGTGAAACTATGTGCTCAAAGGCTGAGTGGGCTCCTGCCTTCCTGTTTTATAATGTGTGACAAGTACCTACTGTGTGCCAGGTACCAACCGACAAGTTAGGTGCTATCATTAGAGTTTTATTGATGGAGAATGTTAGCACAGAGAGGTTAAGAAACTTGCTCAAGGTCACGCAGGAAGTAGCAGAGCCAGAATTTGCACCCAGGCAAGGTCTGCCCTCATTACCAGAGTGCCCTCTGCCGACTCCTTTCTTCCCTTATACAGCTGAGGAAACAGGCTTGGTCAGTAACCTGCCTCGGGTGACGCTTGAGGCCAGAGAGTGATGTGTCTGGGACTTGAATCCAGTATGAGGGTCCCGTTTCATCGTTGCTTTTTGTACTCCCTGTGCCACGCTGCCCCCCCTGTTATCTTCCAGCCTTGACACCAGAAAGGCAGAGCAAGGATAGCGTGTGGGGGGCAAGGTCAAATGTGGAGGGCAGAGGTTGGAGGCAAGAAGCCAAGGTCCACTACTTGGAGCAGAAGCCCAGGAACTGCGTAGCTGTGAGGCAAGAGCCGGTGTGAGCCTAAGGCAGCAGAAGACGGGAGACCTGGGGCCAGCCCAAGGTCAGAGACAGAGTGGCGGAGGGAGATGGGGGCCAGCCAAGAGGGGCCTGTGACGTGTGGGCTGGGGCCGAAGCCAAGGGCAGTGCTTGGAGACCCGCGGCTGTGTCCCCTGGCGCGCCTGCAGCTGGTTTTATCTGCCGGCAGCCCTGACACCAACCCTGCATCTGGACGGGCTTTCCTGCGGCTGCCGTGCGGACTCACCGCCCAGGCTGCCATCTGTTAACGGAGGGGGAGAAGGCCAGGCAAGACAGACCTGGACCTGACTCCAACTCTCAGAACGTGTGTGACTTCGGGAAGTCATGTATGTCACCTCTCCATTGCACAATGGGGACGAGAGAAGCATGGCTGCAAGGTGTTAACAGCGTACCGTGTCGGGGGCTCTGCCTCCAGTCCTTAGACAGCGCTGTGGGGTGTGGTTGTGTAGATGAAGATAAAATGGCCCGGAGGTGGTGAGATTCACCGAAGTAACGTCTGTTTAGCACAGTGTCTGGGGTGAAGGGACAGTGCTCGGTAAGGAGCCCGTGACCTCCCGTCGTGGCTCACAGCAGCAAGTCTGAGCTGTGTTCCTTGCTCTGACTTCTGCATTTTTGAGGAGAAGGTGACTCATTTTATAACCTCTATCTACAGGGCCAATTTAGCAAATTAATTTTTCTTGTAATAAGTATTTAAA